TGACCACAGTCCTTCACTTAACATTTTTCTGGTTCACATCTTTAATGCTCATGATTTTCTATTATTATTTCTTTTTCTTCTTTAACATACGTAGGTTGCTGACTTCACTTAATGGTAACAAAAATGTTCACAAATTGTGTTTTCTGATAGCCTAATACTTATTTCTCTCATCGCCACAGCTTCTGACGAAGAAAAGGTTCTACCAAAGAACCAGTTCAACACGAAAGCTACAAATCAGTGTGTGATTTCTCCATCAACTTTATGGACCTCACATTTCGTTGACCAGTGCAAGGCCTCTGCGGTAGAAGCCTTGAAAAGTAGCTTAAGGCGTTCCTAATCTATGAAAATCCATTTACAAAGCAATCCAAGCCCACAAATGCCTGTCTTGATCAACAACAAAAGGCCCATCGTTCACCTTAAGTACCATTGAACCCAAATCAAAGTTCGAAGTGTGATGATGTGAAAAGTTACACCGCGTCGGAAAGTTAAAAAATCTTGTAAGAACTTATAAGAGTTGAGCTACTCCTCTATGATCTAGTGGTTTCTTCGTCTTAACTTCTTTCATGGTATTACAACATGTTAGAATTGTGTAATGGTATTGATATCATAAAGTACACAATACTAGTAACTTGGCTTAAAAGTAATCTAAGCCCCAAAAGGAAGATAAAAAATCTAACCCAATATGACTTAGAATCCTAACTAGTTCTCCTACACTAACACTCATATTCCCCTCACCTAGTTAAACTGTCCACATCTTAATCTTGAATTTTCGGCACAAATGAAAGAGTGTGTGTAATGATCTGAAATTGTCCCTAGTACTAGAAAGTTAAAAAACCTTGCAAAAACATATAAGAAATTGATCAGTCACAACCCTCTATCAATTGGTTTTGGAGTTGAAACCACAACTTCCCTAATAAACTGTAAACCAGTGAAGAAATGATGTTGCAAAACAAGGAAGAACCACAGTAAGCAATGAAGAAGGAGAGAAAGAGAGTTGAAAAAGCTTAGAGAGGAAGAAATCTTTTGTATTGTATTGATATTTTCTTAACTCATACAACAACTTCATTACAAGCTTATATATGACAGCTATAGTAGCTTACAAGCTAAGCTACTCTTATAATCAACATAACTACCTTCTTAATCTCATGACACTTGTCTAATCTACAATCATTGGATCTTAATGCTCCTAACATAAACCACGTACTTAAAATTAGGATTACCATTGTAACATAGTTGATAATTAGTAATATATATAGTGGTGCCTTGATCGAAGGCTGCAAGGCAGCACATGCAATAAGGAAATGTACTTGATCATGACCAATTAAAGAGAGCAAATGAGATATACTAGGAATGGGTGATGGAACAGTATAAAACCAGTTTAATCTTAGTCTGCATATCTACCGACAGATTATTACATGCATATCAGGTCAATTAACTCAAAGATTGTCGGGTTCAAGAACATGGAACATTTTGACCACGTACGTACATTATTATGTGCAAGCTAATTGCAAGAGGAGAACCTCAATCAGGACGCGAACGCAAGGGTGGAAGACAGAAATTATCTTATATATAAAACACACACTTTTTTGTCCAACATTAATAGAGCCAGTAAACCAGTTTACATGGATTGTGATATCATCATTGAGATTTTATGGACATAATACATACAAACGCTCTACCACTAAATCAATCTGTGTGTTTCAAAAATTTCTAAGTATCTTATTCTTTTCCAAAATAGAGGTTATGTATAAAGTTTATAAAAGTATTTATAAGTAATTACATAAAATTTACATACAGTGGGACTACAACGTAGCCTAATACACTGCAACATATACCTATGTATGTATAGTATAGTAGAGACAATCTCTTGGTTTAGTAATTTGTAAAGAAAATAATTTTCACACATTATTTTTATCTTCTAAGACATTATTTTATTTATGATCACCATCGAATTGAATAAATTAAATGAAAACACTGTACATATTAAATAAGTGTTTGAGAGCCTAAAACATTGTGTCTGTTTATCAGCTAAATGGTTGTTAGGGTAAATATTGAGTTAAAAAATGGTCATTAAGCAGCCATGCATGGCAGGAGTTGCAGACTTTAAGCCAGCTCCAGGGATTGGTCTTGCATGTCATATGTAGCCATATATATATGCCAGCTTGTACAGTCAGGAGTACTCACGCATCTATATACTACAGTGACTTCACAATGAAAGTAGGTAAAAGGAAACAAGGGAAATGCTTCCAGCAAAAGCCAAAAGCCAAAAACCTAAAGCTAAAAGCCGAAAGCCAAAAGCCGAAAACATAATTCCCGACACGGGCCGCACCACACGATACACATCAAGACTCAACAGGACTTGAGAGTGAACCGTGAACAGGAAACCGCTGCCATCCATTTCCCCACATAACTTCACATCACGATATATATTATAACTATATCTCCCACAACCATTCTTATCCAGCTCACACCGTTATGAGCACCATATCTTGCTCGTCCAACCAATTCTCTATGCTTGGTATATGTGTTATGTGTGTATATACTTTCTCTTATTTTTTTCAACAATTCCATGTATATATTTTAATACGTTATTCAGAAATGAATATATTTTAGATGTTATTCATAAAGAATAAATTAAAAAAATTCAAACTGTTAAAACATCCAATTACAATGGAGACAATAGATAAATAATATGTGCTTCAAATATACAATTAAATAAACATCCTTTGATTCTATAGCCATATTGTTTCAAATTGATTTTTATAGAGATATTTTTTAGGAAACCTAAAATTAGACGGTTCGAAGCATGAAAATATAATGTGAAGTAGCACTACAAAGATGTTCCTCAAATACTTAAGCTTATTTGAGAAATTTCTCAACTCAAACACACTGTATATATCTTGATCACCATCTGCTTACTAATTAACTTTGATTACCTTAACAATCACAAGGGTCATTAGAAATATGGCATATGAATATATGGTATTTCTCAGACCCTCTAGTGAATGTCATAGCAACAATATTGATGTGGAATAGGTCATATACATCTGTATATGTGGTGGATATATATTGCAGAGTTAGCATGAAAAAACACATCCATATCTGATTCCTGACATATATTCGTTGTGTGACAGTATGAGCTAATAATGGCTTTAGGCTTCATTTGCTTGGCTACATGTGGACTGGAGAATTAGCAGATGGCTTTCTGAACAGGTTTTCAGTGTGTGGTTGGAGGATGATCAGGACCGACCTTCCTTATTGGCAGCAAATTGTATCATTGCATTGGTAGTAACCAATACTGTTGGAGCTAGTTAGAATTTTATGCATGTAATCCGATTTTTTTAATTAAGTAGTTAACAGAAATTGTACGTAACCCTACTTAGATATATTAATTAATTAAACTGAAGAAGAAAACAAAATCGTAGCAACTGATTGCAATGTTGTCGTAACATAAGGAAGTGAGATAGATTTTTTTACCTATTGATGCATAAGTACAAAACACGAGGGGTGGCCCAACTTTTGTTCTACTTTCCCAACGTGAATTATTGGATCAAACCCATACCACCTCTGCTTCACGGGTCCCCCTCAACTCATGATCGGAAGAATTTTGCTAGCTTCTTGTGTAAATTTGTAATTGCTCCCTGGCTTGGTCGCTTTAATTAATGTCTAAACATCCTATTTATAGCTTCGCATATCTCTAAAAGCTTCAAGAGTCCAAATAAGACACTGAAAAGGTCCTTTAAAACTTAAAACCCTAATAAAACATTGTAAACTATGAAATTTGGTTAAAAAAACCCATATATCATAACAAAATGACTTGATGCGTGCCATTATTCTTTTCAAAACGGCATTACTAAAGCTTAAACCTACAAAATTTTATTCTCGCTGCTCAATTTGCCCCTTCCGCCATATGATCTATATCATCTTACTCCAAATTAAAAAAAAAAAAAAAAAAAAAAAAAAAAAAAAAAAAACAACCATGTTCCATGAACCATCCCTCGCACATAACTTCCTGAGTTGGACGACCTTGACTCTGCATTGGATGATCGAACAAATGTTCCTCAATTTTTTTTATTTAAATGTATTGTGTTCATGAACCAAGACAATACATCTAAGAGCAAATTTTTTTTTCAAGAAATTCATACTCATCACTTTATATTGCAATGCGTATATCATTTTATTTATACCATATTAGAAGTTCACATATTCACAGTCTTCCATTAACACTTTTGTTTTTACTAAGTTTACAAATTTGTCATGTCATTGTCTCGTGAATTCATTTGGATCTTAATCATTGTTTCTCTAAAAAATAAATAGTTTGTTTCTAAAACAATGTACTCACTATAATCAAAATATAATTTTTAAACCCTAATTATTTTGTCATTGTTTCACCCTTAACCTTAAGCATTCTCAAGCTTAATGTTAGGGTAAATTTGTTACCCTCGCTGTATCAATTAGGCGACAGAGCGTGATATAAAGTGACAATTGGTTGCATTGAACATTTGAATGACTACTCTGTATCGTGCCGATCATTTCACAAAGATTCTGGACATATCAAACAGCTGCATGCCATACAACCGCATAATAAAATGCTTATATTGATTTTATTGCTGTGTCCAAATGCCGCCGGAAAATCCCCCCATACATATAAGATTATCGGTCAGGTACCTCATTATATGCTCGTTCTTTTTGTTTTTGTAATTTATTTTTTCATTTTTCAATTGGATATAAATTTATCCTAAGAAATAATATATTACTAATCACGCTAATATTGTGTCAGCTTAATTACTTACACATGCACAAGTACGCGAAAAAAATATATATATTAGTAGTGACCATCTGACCTATAAATTAACTGCGTATCATGAAATTCTATTCTTCAACAGTTACGACCAACATGGCACTAGTGTAAATAATCCAACCAAACAGTACCACATTGGAAACCTGTGTCTATTTTAATATACTGTAATTACAATTATCAAACACATAGAAGAGAGAGAGAGAGCGACAGAGAGAGAGAGAGAGAGAGAGAGAGGGGAAAAGAGAGAGAGGGAGAGAAGGGGATGGAGGGAGATCATGATCCAAACACAAACGAAGTATACAAAGAATGCTTGAGAAACCATGCAGCCAGCCTCGGCAGCTACGCCACAGATGGTTGTGGCGAGTTCACACTTGACCACGCATCCCCAGGCGGCTTACAATGCGTCGCCTGCGGATGCCACCGCAACTTCCACCGCAGAGTCACTTACTCAGCCACGTCATCGCAAGCTGCAGGAGGCGGTAGATCAGGACATCATCAACACCATGTCATCATGAGCTGCAGTAGCCGAGGTCGAGATCCCGCCGAAAATATCATAACACAAGACCAACTTGTTGACTATAATGCCGGTGGAGGTGGGTCGCCGGACAGCGGAGAGAGGATGAGCAGCGGGAAGAAGCGGTTCAGGACTAAGTTCACGGCGGAGCAGAAGGAGAAGATGCTGGCGTTTGCTGAGAAGTTAGGGTGGAAGCTGCTGAGAAAAGATCTAGAGGACGAGATAGAGAGGTTCTGCAAGAGTGTAGGGGTAAGCAGACAGGTGTTCAAAGTGTGGATGCATAATCACAAAAACCTTTCATCTTCTTCTACTTCTGCATCCACTGGCAATGCGTCTTCTCTCACTACCCAGTAGTACCACCTCTCTACTCTCTAGGCACTAATTAATCCTCTTAATCCATCGCTTTAGCTTTAGCCTTTTATTTTCTTTCCTTTTTATTATTTGGACGTGTTTGGTCCTCATCATTTAGTTTTTTTCTTTTCTTTTTTTTCTTTCTTTTTTATCATTAAGCTATATATAATTTAATCCTACCTTATCTCTGCGGTCGGTTGTAATTCAAGGGATGCTAAAATGCCATTTGTTTTTTTGGTTTTTTCTTTTCACCGGTTACATTTGATTTCTTAGCAAGCTAGATAAAATGGTTCTGTATCTAATGTTAGCTAGCGATCCTTTCAATACATCTTAATTTGAAAGGGGTTTTACCATGGTTGGTCCCTAAAATGGGACCTTCTAATTAAAATTATTTATGAAATAGAAAATTCATTAATTTAGTTCCTAAAAATGAATGTCGCAAATCAATCTAGTGTTTCAATTGCTTTTTCGTCAAAATTTCTATGGTTTTGTGAAGCCCTTATTCCACAACCAAGCTGAATTAATAGATGAAAACGTTCTAGCGGCTTTTAGGTAGTGGCAAATAAGTGTGAAAGGCGACCGAGTTCGCTTCAACCCTGCAAATGCACATACATAGTTTCAAACAATAGATTACTGACTGCAAGAGTTATACACGTAGATTCCTAAAGGAAGCATCGTAATGGTAAGGAGCTCCATTATTAGTTCTCTAGAATAATACAAAGGCATGAAATTTGTGTATCAAATTTGGGTCGCAAACACATCACCGGTTAGGTCTTTTTGGGATTAATATGTTTTTAACGAACTCTAGTTTACAAGAAAGAGATTTACACTTAGGTATAAAAGATGGTACACTACTTTAACTAGCTGTCTTAATCCACATTTACGTTGTATCGCTGACTAGATTACTAATATTTGCAGCATGTTAGATCACTTATTCATGGAATATTATCCGTGGCCCCCCTACCCCTTTTAGCTAGTTTCAAGGCTTTAGAAAAAAGTTATATGAATATATTTTCCTTTGAAGAATCTAATTAAAAGATATTTGCAACTCTTTCATGATTAATAGCCTTTGCAAAATGAGAAATGCTAAGGAGTCTTTTAAAAGTGAGATTTTTATAGATTTTTTGTCGCCTTATGTTTTGGCAAAATGTTTTATAATATTGGCATGTGAATTGACGTCAAACTGTGAGGTGACAGATAATCCATAGAAAACCCGTTTATAAGAGACAGTCCCCTAGCATTTTTCTTGCATAAGTAAGTTCCGAATCACAACAAAACAAAAACATGAGATTCGCTTAACTTTTAATGATAGAGGTTATAGCCATATTAGGTTAATCGTCCGAGTAATCATTTCCATTTGTTGTTTTGCATAGTACGTGGAGACACAACATAAAGTTTTGCCGACAGACACATATACCTTACCTCTCTCGACCTCTCCATTGCTACCAATCGTGAAGACACCTGCGTGTCTTGTCTAAATCAAATTAAGGTGTCGACCTTATTTACATTACTTGCCTGCCATGGCATCTAGTGAAAGTTAAAACTTACCATGGGGAATTGCATAAATTCGTCCTCAGCGTGATTTCAAATTCCCTCAACCTCATGCAGTATATGTGAAAATAATAAAGATTGTTGGTGGTCAGGAATTGTGGATTATATACAATTATTCCATTTCCTAATGCATATTAAGTAATAGTTCTTTTAGAATTGCCCCGATACTTTTTGAGATAAACCTTTCAGTTTCAAATCTCGGGAGTAATCTTGATTGTGTTGTGACCTTCCTTTTTTAGGGAAGTGAGTCCTATGAAACGAGTGATCTATCGTGCTTCAAGCCAAGGTAGAATGATTGGCTATTCACCAGTGTACCAGACTGTTCAATAGGGGCGGCCAAATCATCCACTAGGAGCGGCACACCTTTTGGAGCTGTTGACTCGATGTCTGTAAAGTACGTATGTCCTTGCAGGCATGTTTGCAGTTGGTAAATGATCTCGTCACTTTAGATAGATCAGAGGAATGCGTCTAGAGCAACATTTTGAAAGTTAGAATACATCACACTTGTGAGGTACGGGGATCGAGGTGAGACATAGTGGGCAACGTCTACACAAATTCACATTGTTCTACAGGAACATTGACGTTCTTATCTCCCCTTAACAATGGGGAAACTTGTCTCATTGAAGTGACAGTCCGCACAATGAGCAGTAAAGATATTGCTTACAAGGGCTCTAAGAGAGCTAGTGTGAAGGAGAATCATGATCGACAAAGATTCATATCCTTCTTTGAGGACCCATACTGGGTACGTTGCGGCGGCATAACTTGGCACATGGAATGCACACCCAAATGTGTAAGTATGAAATGTCAGATTCGTACCCAGTAACCAACTGTAACATCAAAAATAAGTTAGGTGGCAAGGGGGGCCTAAAGGCGGACCAACATTGTAATACCTTGAAAATTTAAATCTATGAATTAGATATTCATAATTATGAATATGTGGAGAAAATCGAAAATAAATCGATTTATGGTTATGAAAATTGAATTGAGAAATTGTAAAAATTTTGTTTCCGGAAATTATTATAACTTACGTATTTGTATTATAGAGATTTTATATTATTTTTCAAGAATTTATATTAATTGTTTGAATTTAGGTTTAAATTAAACAAGTTACGGAATTTGAAGTTTGGAAATTAATTATATAAAATCTGTAAACCTTTCAAGGTCACAATTTATATGTTTGAATAGATCTCGATCTCACGAATGCGTAGGTGCAAACCGTTCGTGAAACTGAGTTATAACAAAAAAGTTATTAACGATTGAAGTGGAGGGCAAAATAGACATTTTTCCATTAATTTGGAAGGCTCTAGAAAATCTGGAGTTATGGGTTGATACCACGTGTGTGGCTATGAGGAAGAGAGGGTTGCAGGAGAGAAAATGAGGGAGAGGGTGGACTAATGGGGGAGAACCGGGAGGAAAAATAAGAGAAGGGGGAACACCGGATTACCCTGGACCTGACCCGGTTAGCCGGCTCCCGTGACGTTTTTCATAGGTTTTCTGTCCGATTTCGGTAAGTTTCTTCGAGTTATTACCTGGAAAAGTGTTTGCGACCTCCCCTTTCTAAATTCTATCAAAAACCCAAGCTATTTTGGTCTTTGTTTCACGGGGTGGACGGCAGCGATTCCACCATTTGGGAAAGCAACACGGTTGACTACCACCATAGTTTAACTCCTGGTGAGGTAGGGAACAAAGCCCAAACAACTGTAGGGGCGGCGAAGCACCGGAGGTGACTGATCGAAGCCACCAATTTCTAGGGTTTCCGGTGGGTTTGAGGGAAATTGGAGCTTTTCCCGGCCAAATTGGACTTAGCAACAGGTATAAAACTTGCTCTATTCATTGAGATCTTCATTTCTGTGAAATTTGAGAATTTTTGGAATTAGTTAAATTTTCGGGTCGGGGCGTTACAAAATGGTATCAGAGCAAATGATCCTATCTAACAATGTGAGATATTATTGGTGTTTGTGGATGTGAATTGTAAATTTTGAATTGTATTGATATTGCATTATTTTATTAGTTCTATGAGTATGAACAAATTTATGTGGAATGCATATATTGTGAATCATCATGAATTGAATTAAATTGAATGAAAGTAGAAAACTTTAAAATATCGTATTCATGTCATAGCTTTGAAGATGAGCGTTTGGTTTAAAGTTTCAGATTAATCTGGAATTGAGTTGATATTATGATATGCATTATGAAAATGTTGAATGTTAAGATGATGGTGAAATTGTGACAAGTAGAAGGAAAAGTTGTACTATACTTGGGCAAATGAGAAATGTTGAATTGGGCGGAAAAAGGCCCGTGGATGTTGAATTGGGCGAAAAGGCCCGTGGGTATTGAATTGGGCGAAAAGGCCCGTGGATGTTGATTTAGGCGAAAAGGCTCGTGAATGTCGATTTTGGGCATGATGGCTCATGGAATGGGAGGAATGTTTGATTGGGCAAAATGGCCCGTGGATGTGGATTTGGGCGAAATGACCCATGGAATATGGAAAAGTGGTTGAATGGGCATAAATACCCAGTGTTTCTGGGAGAAAAACTCCATGTCTGGGCTGTGAGAATGAGTTATCAATGTGATGTGTGTGAAGGTATAATTGCTGGGCATATTACGATTCTTTCCAAACTGCTAATCACTTGTTGGGATAAAAAGAAAATCGTGGTAAAATCTTTGTTTGGCCAATGATGATTATGCTTAGAAATTCTTTATATTTGTATTGGTCAATGATAATGATGGATCTAAATTTTAATAGTTATGAAAGTTATGATTTATTGAACGGGAATGAAATTATAATCTAAGGTTATGGTTTGTCCATTAAAATTGGAATGGTGGAAAGATCATGAAGATTTCTTCATTTATTATTAGTGGACATGAATAAAACTATGAAATGAGATTTTGAGTTCGTTTAACATAAACAATTTCCTATATTGTGTTTTTTTTTTTTTTTTTTTTTACATTTGATGAAAAGAATTGATGGGGGAAAGCTTGTGATTACAAATTTGATTGGTTTGGTTGCCATAGTCATGAATTGTCGTTGTTGGATTCGATATCGCAAACAAAACCAATGAAGAGCACATATTCTCATGGCTATGTGATTAATAAGGTTTTTGTTGGCCAATAGAGTTGTGACATATATATATATATATATATATATATATATATATTCTCTTCTTTGGTTAATCGAAGGTGAATGATGCTCTAGAGGTGTGAGTCGCTAATTTATGTGATTTGTGACTGCACTTAGAAGCAATTTAAAAGAGAAACAATTAAAAGAAATATTTAAAAACTGTTAAAATTTACTATGGGTAATTAGTTTATTTGCGGATATGAAGGAAATCATAGAATGAGCTTTTGTTTTCGTTCAATGTTAACAGTATTGTGGATTGGATTTAAATTCCAAATTTTTTATACAGTGATTATGGCTAGATGTTCTGGTGTTTTTACCAATGAATGTGGTTGGAAATCTGAGAAAATGTGTGTGAATCATGATGATTATTCGTTGATCTATTTATTTTGAGCTTGAGTAAAAATCATATGATTTTATTCCCTATAAATGGAAGGGCAAGATGGGTTCTAATTTCCTTTCCGTTATTTGATGGTTGCAATCTCGGAGACGAGATTTATTTTAATGGGGGTCGAATGTAATGCCCTGAAAATTTAAATCTATGAATTAGATATTCATAATTACGAATATG